TACGCATCCGATGAAGTGAGCTGTAGCTCACGAAAGCTCATGCTCAAATAAATTGGTTAGTCTCTAAGGTGCCACAAGTACTCCTTTTCTTTTTGCGAATACAGACTAACACGGCTGTTACTCTGAAACCTGTCAGATCTATGTAGTATTTGCAGATCATTTTCTACCCATGGTACAGCACTTTTGGGTGAAGACAGTGACCAGACACTAGTGGAACTGAGTGGCTCTTCGCAGTTGGGATGAGCAGCAAAGACAGTATTACTTCAGAAGGAGGAAAGAGGCTTTTCTGTTGTGCCAGGCTAGCCCCAACACTGGCAGCACTAAGCCAGGATCATAAGAGCTCCAATCACCATAGAACAGAGAATAGCAATTGCCCAGTGGAAGCTGGCTACCCCAAGTAATTTCTGGTTACTTTGGTGCCAGTCTGCGTTTGGGAAGCACATGGTGGATGTTGATGTTGAGGAGGAGTCAGGGGTGGTTTTACTCCAATCAGTACTAATGTGCCAGAGATAATTGAGTGATTAGACAATTGAGATTCCAGCAGGTTTCAATGGAACTCATGTGCCCATTCTCTGTTCACACTCCGGCAAGCCCAGCAATTCATTTACAGAAAGATGTATTACTCAGTAGTGAAGCAAGTCCCTGGCTATCCATATAGAGTGCCCCAGCCAAGTATTTACCAGAACTCTGGACCTTCCAAGAGCAGTCACTGGGGGGGGGGGGCTCTTTTTCTACCAAACAAAATGGCCATTAATGGTGTCTCCATCTCCACTGCGTTGCTGGGTGACCCCCTGCACACCCACTTTTCCCATAACTCATGTAACCATTCCCTGATTACACAAACCTGGAGAAACACCAATTCAGCTATACCCTCAAGAGATGCAGGATTGCGGTAGAGGGTGCTTTTGGGAGACTGAAAGGAAGCTGGAACCCTCTGCTGACCTGCCATAAAGGTGGCTGTGTAGCAATAATATGTGCCTGCTGTATTTTGCTTAATATTCGCGAAAGCAAAGATGAAGTCTTTCAATGCAAAGTAGATTGAGAAGATAGTGGGGCTTCCAACAACCTATATGCAGCTGGACAGACAAGCTGTTGCACCCAATGCTGTTATTTATGCTAGTGCAACCAAGGGATTTTGAGAGGAGAGGTGCCGCAGGACTCCTCCATGCATGCCACAGTTCTTTATGCCAGAAGTGACCACAAGGTCTCTAGACTTCACTGTCAAAGACAATGATTCTTTTGTGCTTCCATTGTGGCTAAAAGGCTAGGACAGCCTCAGCATCCCTGCACATAAAGGACTCGACCTGTGAACTTTGGGATTTGGCTGGAAAATATATGGGCCCCAATTCTGAGCTCTGGTCGTACTCCTCCTGCTCCCAATATGCCCTTTCTTTCCCCGAGGTCTCCCCCCAGCACATCCCTATGCCAGTGTTGTAAGGGTGAGAAGCACAGAGTCACTCTGCCAGCCTTATAAAGCTTGGGGAATCTCCCCTACCCTAGAGGAATCCCAGCTGTGGGGATCCAGCTGTTTTATGGTCACTGTATCTCACAAGAGCCTGAATGCAGCCAAGAATCAAGGCCATGGTATTATCCCTTGACATTTATAATTCATTGTTGTACACTGTAAACCTCTGTATCGCTCTTCCACTTGACATGATCTTCATTCACTGAACACACATGGGCTGGACCATTCATCTTCTCCTTCACTTTTGCCTTTCTTCCCTTCTCTTCTTTTCTCACTATCAGTTCTTTCCTTCTGGCAAGCTGCATCCCCTCTTCCTTGGATTGATTGTATACTTATATGCTACCTAAAATTTAATAAAAGCTCAACAAAAATATGTATATTAGCACAACGTGCACTTGGCTTGTTGCCCAGATTCAAAATGGTCTATTCACACACTTTCAAACCCATGGTGTAGAATTGGGCATGCATCATACATATTGGTGAAATAAATGTTATATATTTTTATTATTAAGATTGTTTATCATAAACTCATAGAAATGTAGGGCTGGAAGGGACCCTGAGAAGTCATCCAGTCCAGCCCCCTGGGCTGTGGAAGGACCAAGTAAACCTAGACCATCCCTGATAGGTGTTTGTCCAACTTGTTCTTAAAAGTTTCCAGTGATGGGGACTCCAGAACCTCCTTGGAAGCCTATTCCAGAGCTTAACTACCATTATAGTTAGAAAATTTTTCTTAATATCTAACCTAGGTTTATGGGTTGTGCTAGGGTGACCAGACAGGAAGTGTGAAAAATCAGGATGGGGGTGGGGGATAATAGGTGCCTATATAAGACAAAACCCCAAATATCAGGACTGTCCCTATAAAATTGGGACATCTGGTCACCTTTGTGCTGATGGTGGGCTTGTCCTTATGTATTAAATATGACCTTTATTAATGATCCCATTCTTTTCATTTGGATGAGGAATGATCTTATAGAGAGCAGAGCTGTGGATGTGGGTGGATGTGGATGTGGAGCAGAGCTGTGGGTCAGTGATTACTAGCCATTGCTGTTATCAGGCACTTTGACAAGGGCTGGATTCTGCTTTCAGTCCTCTGATGAATTTACTTTTCTTGTGATTTATTCATGATTTCTATGTTATATTGAGGGTGCTAATTAGAAGAGTTAATTTTTCTACTTAAAACCCAGTCTGGCTCATGGAATGTGCAAATTACACAGAGACTTTTCACCAGAATCTACTTTATTATACAAACACAGAGGCCAAATTTCTCTAGTGCAGACCAGGCTGCTTTTGTTCCAGAGCAAATGAATTGTTAATTTAAAACTTTTCCTGCCCTGCTGGCCCTTTCAAGCCTAGCCAGGGTACATGCAGCACAGAAGTTAACCTGCATGCACAAACTAAGCCAGCTAGGACCACACCTTGCAGAAAGCAAGCTAGGCCCACAACACCAGAGACCAAATTCATCACTTGAGTTCAATCCCAGCTATCCAAAGGATGAATCTGGCCTAAGGGCTGCACATGTTATGAGGAGAAATTATAACAGTCATCAGTGGATTTGAGTGGAGTCAGAGCAGCTGGGAAAGTCTCCCAGTAGGGAACTGGATGGTGAGGGACCAATGTCACAGCATATTACATCTGAGCACTCACACTGGCTATATAGGAGATGTGGGACTCTACGTCATGACCTTTTTCTCTTCATCCTCTCTCACATACAAGAATAAGGGGATAATCATTGCAAAAATTGAAAGGTGGCAAATTCAGAACTGATAAAAGGAAATACATTTTCCGCACAATGCACAATTAGCCAGTGCAACTCATTGTCACAAGACATTATTGAGGATAAAGGCTTATTAGGATTCAAAACAGGATTAGACATGTACATAGATAACAAGAATATCCAATGTTATAAATGAAAACGCAAAAAAAAAAAATTTAAAAATTGCCAGACTGGATCAGACCCACGGTCCACCTAGTCCTCTAGCTTGTCTCTGACAGTGGCCAGCACTAGGTGCTTCAAAGGAAGATTGCAAGAACCGCACAGTAGGCAGATAAGGGAGAGTTTGACCTCAGGAAAATTTCATCCTAATCTCTACTAGAGATTGGTTTAGGCCCTGAAAAATGAAGATTTTAGCCATTCCAAAATTCTTTGTTTGCATTAACAATTATAACTCGGGCTATTCTTGTTATCCATGTAAGTATCCAGTCCCTCTTTGAATCTTACTAAGCTTCAACAACATCATGTAGCAGTGAATTCCGCAGTCTATGCATTGAATGGAGAAGTATTATTTTGTTTTGAATTTGCTCCCAATCCACCATCTCTTAACCAGTCATAATTTTATATACTGTTGTCATGAATCCCTCTTATGGTAAACAATCCCAGATTTTTCAACCTCTCTTCAGATGAGAATTTTCCCAGACCCTTGATCATTTTCACTTTCTTTCTCTGAACCCTTCTGATCCTCCAAAATCTTTTTGGAGATGGGGTGACCAGTACTGCACACAGTACCCCGCTGAGGCTGCCCCACTGATCTATATAACGGTTTCTGCATATTTTCCATATTATTCTCCATCCCATTCCTTTTGTATCCTAACATCTTGTTTGTTTTTCTGACGCCAGCTGCATATTGAACAGCGGTCCTCGCTGATCTGCAAACGACACCCAAGTCCTTTTCCTGAGCTGATACAGGTTTGGGAGAACTATAAACACTCAGGCTTCCATGATCCAATTTCCCAGCTTGTGGTGGTTAGAACAAACCTTTCCCTGGAGGCAGGTTATGCTAAGCTACCCGCTCATGGATTCTGCTACCTTTCTTTGAGGCATCTGATACTGGCCACTATTGGTGACAGGCTACTGGACTAGCTGGATGCAGTCTGACCATCCCCATGTAGCGTAGCAGCAAGGGAGCAGTCAGAGGCATGTCCATCCCCGGGCACAGGGCCTGACTGTGCAGGGGCTGCCAGCACCCCTGTAGGGAACATTATGGGGTGCAGGCTCTCAGTGAGTTGCCCTCTGGCTCGTGTCGGGGTGGGGGATGGCCAGCCCTTGGCTGGAGCATGCCTAGGTTGGAGCGTGCAGGTGGGAGGCGCTGGGCCATTGCAGCAAGGGGCCCAGGGTAAGGAGTGCAGGGTGCTGGGTGGGGGGTCACAGCCAGCTATATTACCCCCATGGCTGCGGGGATGGGGCTTGCCCGTGTGTGCCTGGCGCCAGGGCTGGAAGTCAGACCCCACCACTGATCCTGCGGCCCACGCTGCAGCCGCCAGGGGACGCAGTGAAGCAGCCTCAGCGGAGTTGCCCGGCAGCGCCCCTTGTGGCCGATGCCCGCACCTGCAGCTCCACTCCCGGCCTGGCCTCCCAGTCCCTCGGCGACGTCAGTTTGCTGGGGCGTACGCCTTAGCGACCGCCGCGCAGCCTCTCTTGCTGGGTGCCGTGGAGAGCGCTGTCTGATTGGCTGCAGACGCTGTCGATCCGAAGAGAGGAGGCGGGTCGGAGGTGGCGCGGGGCGCGGCGATTGGCCGGCGCTCCCACGGGCCGGGCGGCTCCGGTCCGCTCGGGTTGGTTGCGCCGGACAGTGGCGGGCGCAGCGTCCCGGGCGCCGCTGTCTCCTCCTCCGCGGTCGCTGTCCCGGCGAGCCCCGTGAGCGAGCCCAGCCCCCCTCTCCCCCCGGCTCCGGGGCGCGGAGCGGAGCCGCAGCGGGACCATGTCGGCCAAGGACGAGCGGGCCAAGGAGATTCTGAGGGGATTCAAGCTGTATCCGCCGGGGACGGGCCTGGGCTGGGGGCCGGTTCCGGGGGCCCCTCGCGTGGGGGGGGGAGCGGGAGGGCCCCTAGGGTCTGTCACCGCGCGCTGAGCGCCCCTCGCCCGCGCTGGCACCCTGCCCGCCCCCCCGCCCGCTGCAGCGCTCGGGAAGGACCGAGGAGCGGGTGGCGGATCCGGCTGCCCGGCCACCCCGCGGGGTCCCGGCCGGCTGTGGGGTGGGGGGAAGCCCCTCAGAGCCATCGCAGGGCTCAGGGGTGTGCGCGCCCCCGCCCGGGGCTCTGCCCCGCCTTGGTCCTTGCGCTTTGCTGGGTCGTGCCGTTGGTGTGCCCTGGAGGGCGGGAGCTTCGGGCTTTCTCCGAGAGCCGCTGCTCGCTGCCGCTTGTCAGGCTTCGCGGCGGTGCCCTCAGGTCCCCTTGTCACGCTCCCCCTGCCCCAGCGTTTCCCTGGCGAGTTGAGTAGCTGCGTGGAGCGGTCCACGGGGCGGCTGCTGCTGCTGGGCTGAAAGGGAGCAGTTGCTACCGGGGGGGGGCTTGCGGTGCTTCAGCGCTGTGATTTGGTTGTTGGCTCTTGCTGTGAAAGCAGACCGTGGAAGAGGAAAAGAAGTGTAGGCTGGTGTATTCATGCGGGCAGAGTCTCAGGAATAGGGTGATCGCTTCCTCTTAACAGTCACTTCACTCGGTCATAGCCTTTCTTTCCCAGCCTCAAGTTCTAAATAGCTGCTGCCACTTAAGGATCCATGTCTGCTTGGAAAGAAAACCTCTAATTTCAAAGTCCAAAAGCAATTTAGATAAGTGCCTTATTCCTTTTATTGACCAAAAAGCTCCCTTCTTTTCTCTTGCCTAACTGGTAGCGGGATAGGGGATGTCTTGCTATTTCTAGGGGGCTAGTTGTGTGTAATCACTAATATGGTATATGTTGCCCTTCTGTGGGACTCACTGAAGATCATCTTAAAATTTGACTTTGCGCTATCTAACTATGAACACATTGTAGAGTAAACCTGGGCAAGAAGGAGAAATGAGCTTCTGGATTCCTCACCTACCCAGTATTTTAGTAAAAGGGTGGACAGATTCCATCAAAAGGGGAGTGCATGTGTGTGAAAGGAGTAGGAGAAATAGGGTAAGTTTATTTAAAAAACACCAACCTTTCATTTTTTAGTATAATTAATGTAAAGTGGAAGTGGGCTGGTCTTGCCCCACCTTTGGGCACTAGGGGAAACCCTAGTTACTGCTCAAATTCAAGAGCGCAAAAGCAGAAGCAGCACCTTGTGGTACTGTAGTATATTTGGACACTTCGCTTGTTCAGACTTTTGCTGCATCAATTTGTGTATAATCTCTCTCAGCTGTGGCATGATGTTCTGAGCTGCTATATGTGGATTTAGTCAGTCAAATAGCTACCATCGGAGTGCAAGCAGATGTTTCTCCCTGGGGAACTATGGTACTTTTCCCCCTCTTCTAAGTAGTGATTCCTTATGCCCAGTCAGGCTTTTTAAAAAATTCTTTCCAGAGTAGCAGTATCGGAAGTTCTTCCTTGTATATGCAGCTGTGATGTTTCAGTTGTCAAGAAGATCGTTAACAGAAGGCTGAGAAGTTCAGGCTATTAGAGAAGATTAAACTTTTGACAAGTTCAAGCTAATAAGTTAGACTCTTGGTTATTTCCCATTAGCTGGAGACCTAAGAAGTGCCCTGGGCATAACTCTAGCCTCCAGTTTTTATTTGGCCCTCCAGGTTCTGCAGGCTAGGAAATTTAAGCAGCTGTATGTCAGTGATGGATTAAATAATCTCTGCATAGAGTTGATTAAAATAGTAACAAGCTTTTTTCAGTTTTAGGAAGGGAAGATGCCATGCAAATGTAAGAGGCAAGGTGGGCGAGGTAATATCTTTTATTGGACCAACTTTTCTCTCCCCAACAGAAGTTGGTCCAATAAAATACTACTCCACCTACCTTCTCTCTAATGTCCTGGGACTGACACTGCTACACTACCACTGCATCTGCAAATGTAAAATTATATAGTCTGTCTCCAATAGACAGTGTAGGACTAATGTAATTATTTTTAACATAGATTATGGCCCAGCCTGGTAGACTAATGATGGTGCTCAGCGCGGTCATGTGGGAGCAACACAAATTCAATTTTTTTGTTTGCTCCCTGGAAGTGACAGGATCTCAGAGCATTATAGAAGTTCAGCCCTGATGGATGAATAGACAAATAGCAAGTATCACATGGAAAGTGATCTTTTTGGCGCATTAGAAAACAGCATTCAGGTACGTAAAGAAGCTCTATCTATTCTTCATTTGAAAGGCTGCTGTCTGACCTAATAGCTAGCTAGCAGGGAATAAAGTTCATTAGGCCTGAGGAAAAAGGAGGACCGTCTGCAAAGATTTCAGAAGTGGAACTTTTTATAAAAAGGGAGAGTTAAAGCAATTCTTTTAAATCATTAATTGAAGAACTGTCTTGACGAGTCATCAATAAAAAATGCATGTGGATGAACAGACATTCATCATGCCTGAGGAAAACATTGAGGCATTGCATCCTTCACACAGGAAGCTACTCATGCACAGAATGTGGTGACGTTCTGTAGAGTAGCCAAATAAAACATTTGATCAGCTAAAATTTAGGATTTCCTCTTTAAAAAGTGGTCACACATTCTAGAAAACATTTAAAAGAAATATTAAGTTGTTGCTGATGCTGAAGCTCTTTATGGGAAGCTAGTTTCCTTAATAGAAAGAGGGAGTCCTGAAAGTTTGTGTGCTAGGAGAGATGGCAGCATCTCCCCTATTGGCATTGGGGAGGGAAATGTTCAATTCCTTCAACTTAATGGAACATTAAAGGACTTGTTTCACATGCCAAAAGCAAGTCTAGCTTGAAGATAACGAGAATATTCATGTCTTAAGGAAACTGGCATGAAGAGGCCTGTGTCATGAGATGAGTTTATAGGGTAGAGAATTTCATTGGTAAAGCAGGCTTGTTAAATTATTGCTTACTGTAACATAGAACAGACATGTTTCAGAGTAACAGCCGTGTTAGTCTGTATTCGCAAAAAGAAAAGGAGTACTTGTGGCACCTTAGAGACTAACCAATTTATTTGAGCATGAGCTTTCGTGAGCTACAGCTCACTTCATCGGATGCATACCGTGATGTTTACGAGAAGTCTAGTTCACCCTGGATAGTTAGTTTCCTCAGATACTGTTTACCTGTGGTTCTTGAGAAAAGCCAAAGGCAAGTTTTCGAACTGATTATAATAGGATTCTGTGGAAGTTAAATTGTTGTAGAAATCTACCCTGACTCGCATGGCTGAGGCATGATTTCCTTCCTGTATGACGGTAGCACAGAAACATGCTGTGGGTCGAGTCCACAAAAACTCAAGCCAGAAGCATCTGCTCCAGTCTCTTGCAGGCCTATATTTGCCATTTAAAAAACCAAAACAAAACAAACATGAGTATTTAAGGCTTTCAGGTAAATTTAGGGTAGACATGGGTAATCTCACCTTTGTGTCTTAGGTATTTATATGGCACCAATCCACATTATCTGGGTATGACATGTATAACTTGTGGGTTTGGTATCTAGGAACAGATGGAAAAGCTAGAACCAGCAAGCAATTTGATAGCTTATTGTCTCTCTTGTAAATTAAACTAGTCCACTTAACAGCTTAGTCTGTTTATAAATTCTGTAGGCAGCATTCAACTCCCCAGATCTCTGTCTGCAGCACTATTCTCTCAAGGATGCTTGCTGTCTTCAGCCTACAAGGTAGCTAGTCCTCAAGCTCCAGGGAGTGACTGAAGCTGCTCTGCAGCCCTTCTTATATGGGCCAGCCCAACCCTGATTGGCTGTCTCCTGCACAGCCTCCCAAGGGCTCTATTAACCCCTTAAAGCCCAGTGTGGGGCAGGCATCTCATCACAGTTCCCCCCACAAAGACAGACAAAATGCAGTTGGGTGGGTCATCTTGGTAAGGAGTTTGGTAACCACTGTCTTAAGGGACCACAGTTCAGCTTCTCAGAAGCTGCTCTTAGTAACATCTTAATCCAAAACAGTAAAAACCCTACCTTTGTTTCATGGCCTAGTTAAGGTTCCTAAATGTAACTACCCAAGACACTTAATAGCAAGCAAATACTGCCAAAGATACTCTAAACCTTACTTTGTCCACGTATAGCAGTACTTTTTAAAAATTTACTTGTGGTAAGTGCTAACAAACAGTTATCAGGGTAGGGTAAAGTTACGTATGTGGGTTTGCATTTGAGGCTGTTCAGTATGTTAGGGGGTAGACAGGCACTCCACAATTCTTATGGAACCAATGCTTGTTTTATTTCATTTGATTTCAGGGACTCCAGGCAAACCCCGTAATCCCTGCCTCATGCAAGGCCTTTGCATGCCCCCTCTCCCCATTCTTCCCTCCACCACATGCTTGGGGGCGCTGTCCTCCATACTCCCCTATGTGTTCCCCTTCTCCCTATTCCTGGGTCCCCATTTTTCCCATGCCCTGGGTTTTGTGTGCCTCCATTCCCAATATCAAGGCCTGCTCATTCTCTCCTCCCCCATGCCAGAGACTGAGAGTTCCCCCTATATCATTGTTCGCTATTTTCACCCCATGTCAGGGGAAGTGGAGACAGAGAGACCCTTTGCTTATCATTTCTTCTTCCTTGGAAAAAGAGTCATTCAAGGTGTAAGCATGTTCAAATGTATTGGGAGGATGGGCAGAGCTAAGGTGGAGGGGTTGTGCTAAAAGGTGTTAATGGCTCTTTGATCTGTAGACAATTACAGACCTCTATTTCCCCCTTCTGGTTTTCAGATTTTCACCAACGTTAATAGGGATCTGTCCCCTGATGCCTAGAACGTTTCCTGAAGTTTTGGAATTAATCTCATGCAGTATTCAAAAGTTGTTACACCCAAACGTAGAAATGCCATCTAGTTGAGTGTATGACAAAGGCTCATAAGTTTTTAACTATGTTTGCTTGCCTTTAAGTGCTTGCTTGTGCTTTGTAAGTGGAGATGATAAGT